GTGGCAGGCTGACATGGCTTCAGCATAGAAATGGGGTAAAATAGCAATACTACTTGTGTTCCGTCGATCTTAGCATTACTGTCAGCACAGGACCCATAATAGTGATGAAAGTTGAGAAAAATTTAATGAAATGTTAATGCAGACTTCAAGCAGTCAGGGTAGAAACTACTTTATGCTTAGATCATAGGAAACATATTACTTATTTTTACATTAATTGTTTCTGCAATTGGAACATGAGCTAACTTTTGGATTTGAAACTGTCCTCTGGGATTGTTGAAGCTGAGGAGGGATGTTTGGTGATGTGTCTTAAGATCTAAACCCATCACAGTAGGAGAGTGATTTAGGTCCTCTGCCACAGTAGATGCTTTACCATAGCCAAAGTACCACATGAGTTTAGCAGGTATGACCCACTACCTATGGGAACCCTACACTTTGCTGAACAGCATCAGAAAACTAATACTTCAGGAAGATGAAAGAGGGGAGAAATTCCTATTAGCAGTTTTAATATAATGAGGTCCCAAACTACATTATTAAAAAACAATTGGGGAGGGGGGGGGGCTTATGCAGTTACATATACTTAGCACAAAACAACTGCAGTACATGACATCAATAGGATACGGGCTATCCTCCATTTGCTATATTAATAGAGTTGATATTTCCTTAGGTTTTGTTTTCTGTTAAATTTCTTTACTTAAGTTCCTGTACGCTCTGGGGCTTCTTCCCCTTTCCCCCCGTGGTAGACTGCTAGTCTGTTGCAATGCAAACTAAAACATGTTAGCTGTCGTGGTTTAACCTGGCAGGCAGCTAAACCAACCCCACAGTGGTTCCCTCCCTCCCTCACCACAACAGGATGGGGGCGAGAATCGAAAAGAGAAAGGTAAAACTCACGGGTTGAGGTAAAGACAGTTTAATAAGACAGAAAAGGAAGACAATGATGATGATGATGATATAATGTAATGAATAATAATGTAAAAGCAAAAGCAAATCCACCTGTATCGCTTGCCCTGTGAATACTTAGATAGCAGTGTAAACTGAAAAGCAGATTTGTTGGCCGGCGTGCAATAAGCCAGTTCTCACACACACACACACACGAGATACTGCTTTTTATTCAGGCCTGGGTGCTCGGTGGATTTCCATCAAATGAAGCATACCTAGTGCCGGCTCTCTTGTCATACTTAGACACAAATGTTACCAAGTAGTACGTTCCCAGTTACAATGGTTAGCTCAGGTTTCTTTGCCCAGTACGCAAACTGGAACACGTGCTCGGTTCTTGTCTCTGCCTTTACCTTTTGACTAGGTGGTATAATTTGGGTAGGGGGTTCATGGGTCGGTGGTCGCAGAGCCCCCTTCCAGAATTACCTTTCCCCTAGTTTCCCAATGCTTTTGGTAATTCCAAATGGTTCCTCAGGGTCTGGTGATCAACTAACAATTCATCAGTTACGCTTCTACCTCTTGACAATCGCTTCTTCATTGATACATGTTTGTACTAACATCACCTAACGCAGGGGCTGGACCACACAACGGCCGTCCTGAGCAGTACCCAGCAACTATCTGCAAAACTGTCTGTAACATCCTTATCTGTGCAAAACTATCATCTGCAACATCCTTAACTATGGAAAATTATCTGTGACATTCTTAACTACAGAGTCACAATTCACTTTTAAATTCGATGCAAGATATCAGCAGCACTGCAAAAGCGTGGCAGCTTTTTTCTCTTTTTTTCCACAAAACATCACCCATATTTATTAAATTCCAATGCTTCTTCCTCTCTGAGTCCAAAATATGATTTTTCAAATTTTAGATTGGTTCAGGCTGATTACATGCTAACTACCATTGCTTTCAAACTGGAATAAATAAAACTTGTCCTTTCAAAAAACTTCTAGTGCTTTACTTATGACAGAAGAGGTAAATATGTATATGTATAAATATAGATGTGCTCATTATCAGACAGAAAAAAAAAGAAGTCTGAAAGGAGAAAACCTATATTATTCACTTGACTAGAAATAAACTATTTTCAGGAAATAGAAAAACAGTGAATATAAAGGTCTTCAAAATTAAAAGCACTAAAACACCGATGATTTCAAAGAACACACATCTAATGAGGAAAATGCTGCTGAGTGTGCTGTTTGCAACTCAAATGAGAGATTATTTATACGTACTAAACATTTTCTCTCAGTGTAAATTATTCTTAAAGGATGTAACTGGAGTCCTATATTGCAGGACATTTAAAACTGGTATGTATAAAAGGGTGCTTTTTCAATAGCTGCAGGGTTTAAATATAGGACAGTAAAAATAGTATGAAATAGATAATTCCAAGTTTCATTTGCTGCCCTCTTGCAATAAAAAGGTACTGTGCTTGTCGTCTGCCTCTCCCCGTGTATGCCCGTGTCCCGTCCCCCCCCCAAAAAAAACCCCTTTCTTTTGAAGGATTTCTGCCAATGGCAGCATATGTAGTCCTAAATGTAAAGAAATTATTTACTTGAAATATTCAAAGAAATTAGTTGTAAACTGAAAGTTTAAGAACACTTCAGAGGATTAAAGCTGTTCTTCAGTAACTTCAGTAACAAATACTCTAGAGCTAATAACAGATACAAAAGCAGAAAAACCAGGGATTTTTTCCTTCCAAAAATCCATCTATTAGTGTATACTCTACAAAATAACCACCGTTGGTTTTTATAGCTAAGACATTTAAGTCACCTAACTTACGACCTTGAAAGTGTAAAATATTAACATTTCTGATCTGATTCCATTTGCAATTATATTAGTGTAAGAAAAACTGACAATAAAATTGTGTTGCTGTGAGACTAATGCATGAGTAAAAATCAACCATTATTGAATCCCTAAATAAGTGGATCAGAAATCAGCAAAAAGATTGTCAATTTAAGATGACCTGATTTCTCTGAAACCTACTTAGAAGTCTGTTTCCCTTTCCATTCCTGGTACAGACAAGGAGTAAGACAAAAGAATCAAAACCCAACAAAACAGTTAAAAGCTGTCTCATTTATGCAGACTATTAGTTAACACTATCTTCACCATCAGGTTGATTTTGTAGAATGCTGACACTGTTGCATTTCTTTTATGTACTTCACTTCCAAGGAAGTGTTTAAAAAATTCAGACAGCATTTTAAATAACACTTTGTCTTCAAAGTGCCTCCCCTAGTTTTGCAGGCCAAATCACATAAGTACATTGTGGACACTGCTGAAAATACCAACTTTAGTAATGATTTAAAAAAAAAAAAATTGTTATTTACAGTTCGGAAGTCCTTCACTGGTAATGTGCCAGTGTAACTGAAGGCAATGGGGTTTCATTTAGCCATGAAAAAATCACTGCCATAAAAATAAACAATGTAGGTGTTCCATTCAACTGAATTTAACTGCACATTTTGTACAGAGGCTGTGTATTCAAATTATTTGGAGAATCTTTTTATATGTATTCATGTTGCATCAAAATCGTAACTGTATAGAAAAATCAAACTTCTGTACAGAAAAAGCAGAGTAGTGTTTCCCCACCCTCCCTGCATTGCTAATGCAGCATGTGAGGTAAGGGGAATACGACAGTTTTGGCCACGAAACAGCAGTATGCAGAGCTTCAGTGGGAGGATGAGATATACGTATCATTGCCTCTTGTGAGGAAAAGCCCACTTTATCATTTGCAAATGAAGCAAACTCCCCATGCACTTGGGGTGGAGGCATCAAGACACATGTTTGAAATGAGGGCCACTGTATGCCACTGCAAGAACAAATAAGAGATCTTCTCCAAAAAGAATACAAAATAAGATAGCCTTATGAAAACAGAATAAAATATCAAATAAAACATAGTTTACAGGCATGAAATTGAGCACTGAATTGCTTGAATTCACAGGAGAGTTACAGAAAGAATTTGATGGCTTTGGATTTCAATTCAGCACACCCTAATCCAAGACTGAGAACATTCTTCCCTTTTATTGTTGTTTGTATCCCAGTTCTTTTACCATACTAAGAGTTCGTGCAAAAGAAAGGGTGGGGTTTGTAAAAAGAAACAAGTTGATCATGCTTTCTCTAACTAATGGTGGCTTCTCTCTTGTCTACTTGAGAAGAGGGATTGAATTGTCTTCAAAGATGCCAGAGTACAAATACATTTACTTGTATGATCAGGAATTGGTCCAGGAATTGAATTCTTACTCACAGGCTTTATGTCAGACTTAAAATCTTTCAGATGAGATTTGGATAGCACTTGAAAAGCACAAACTGCACTTGTGGCATGTTGTCCTAAATGTAAAGAAATTAAATTATTTACTGCAAATTTGCAAGGGCATGAGTTCTAACCTGAAAGTTTAAGACGACTTCAGAGAATTAAAGCATACAGCTGTTCTGACCTGAGAAACTTGAGTAACAAATACTCTAGAGCCTCCCTAATCAGGGGCAGCTGCCATAAAGTCTCCAGGCACGCTTGGGTCAAGGGCAGCTGGCTGAGCTTGTTAGAAGCTGCTGGAGCTTCCTCAGGCCAATATCCCTGTTGCTCCCCTTGTCTCGTAGCACCAGATGCCCTCAAATTTTGAGGCTATTAAAGTGCCTACCATGAAAGCTGAAAGCATACCAGAACAGAATTAAATCATGGGCTATTCTCACATGCAATGTGGAATTTCAATTTGCCTTTTTTAAGATTTTGGAGAAAGTTGAAGATTTAATCATGTTGCGGGGGGAGAGAACAGCAATGACTGCTAAATCGCCCAAGCTCAACAGGTTTTGTGGATGTCACTAAACTACTGTGAAAAAGAACTTCCTTCAAAAAGCCTGTAAATATGTTCAAAATCTCTGCAGCTTCTATTTTAAATCCACAAGAATACTGGAAATAATATTACAAGTTAAACAGAGAATATTAAAAATACATATAAAATGTAAAACTTTCTTGGCTAAAGTTTTCCTAAACTGATGTATTTTCAGTGGGTTTAGAGAATATTTTATGCATCGATATTCACTAAATCCTGGAATAAGTAGTTATTCTATTTTTGTCTTTTCAGGTCTGAACGGAGATGATTTCTTGGTGTTAGGCCTCCGTAATGGCAGAGTAGTATATAGCTACAATCTAGGTTCTGGCGCAGCAACAATCATTAGTAAACCACTTGATCTGACACTTGATATTCACGTCATTCATCTTGGCAGATATCTCCAAAAAGGCTGGCTGAAGGTAAGAAATTATTTCCTTTAGAAGGATAGCTTTTAGATTAAAGTGTTCTTTTTTTTTTTTTTCCACATTTTATATGGAAAGTTTAAAAATTACTTTTGTGTTTCCCTGTTAAGTTTGGAGGACTGCTTTATTAGAAGTTCCTAAATAAGGTAAAATCCTCTGTTGTAACAAATATAAATATTTCATTGGAAGGTGGATGATCAGAAGAATAAAACCGTCACTTCTCCTGGGAGACTGGTCGGACTCAATGTCTTCAGTCAGTTTTATTTAGGAGGTTATCACGAGTATACTCCGGAACTCCTACCAAAGGGATCCAGATTTAATAACAGCTTTCAAGGTAAAGATTATACTGTTTTCAATTCCTTTTAAAACATGCATCAGATTGTTTCAGTTTACCATGAAATAAAGATCTAAAATCTCTGTCTTACAAGGAAACAAACTAGAATCTTCTTGTCTGAGATTCCTGTGGCTTTTTCAGTATTTCTCTATGATAACTAAGAAACATAATGCAAAGAGAGGCTTTGCAAAATATTTTTAATACTCTATGTTTCTGATAAAAATTGAAGTTTGCCATGATATCATTTCTTCTTATCTGCCCCTGTTCTACAGCATCTCCAAAAGGCCTTCCTTTCTCTGAGGTAAAGTCGTTTAGATTCTTCTCCCATCTAGCTCTGACCATTGTCACTGGCAGCGCTGGTCTGGGTAGCAGTTTTTATGCTAAAAGCTTCTTTCTGATAGGACATCATGAAATCTGTTGGGGTTCTTTTTCCTGACATCAAGATATAGGTCTCTAGACAGGACCTAAGTAATTTCTGTTAGGAAAATTTCAGCTATTTATCTAGCAGATAATAATTCCTACCTTGAAACTGATATTTGAAGCTCTGTAGAAATCTTCATTCAACTCCTATCAGTTGGATTAGCAATGAAGGATTTGTTCACAATACTATTTTATTTGCATTCCTTACTTCCATAGAAATAATGTACTAAATATTTGTGAGGTAAAATTCAGTTTAGTTTAAGCACTGGAAAGTCTTTCAAATGAAAAGAAAACATTTTCCCATAGCAGAGCAAAGTTTGAGTTCTCAATTATAAAATTGGGAGCACATTATGAAAGGCAAGCATGGCAATAAAATCCACTTTCATACACTACTACACTCCATTTTCACTAAGACCACATAACTGCCTCTTCTGCAGCCATCACCTTACTTTTTCTTCTTACACATGAACTTCCTCAAAATCAAGTTTCTTACGGTGTAATCAACTTTTCACTCAGAAAGTCACATGAAATAACACTTCATCTGTCTCCGTCTTTTCAGGAAGTGTAAGTTGAATAGTTATATTTTTCATAGCTTCTTAACAGCTTGCAAATTGGCATATCATAAAACATAATGTCTATGCAAATATTTTAAGTGTCAATATTTGTGAAGTATTTCTGGTTGTTTTTATAGCCATGTTAATGTTAGGGATGACCAAGAGGAATCTCTGGTGCTTCACTTTTTAACTACAAACTTCTGCTAGTTTTACAGGTTCCTCATGTTGCAACTGTATTGTGATGGCCAAATTTCTACAAATGCAGGATGAATATTCTTCCAAAAAATAAAAAATATTTCAATGTTCATATACTGTTAGTTAACATACTATTTACTGATTTTTCTTACTGTTTAAAAAGAAATCTCTACCTCAAAATTTTGTCAAACATGTACCGCATAAACAGTTTTTTCTTTGTCCCTATCATTCACAGTATTAAGTCTACTATATTTGCTAATTCATTCCATGCTCCAGTTCCCAGCAGCAGCTTGTCTCTGTTCTCCAGAGCACATTGACTTTCAAGGAAGCTGCACTTCCCTATACCTGATTTCCTATGACATTTTCTTATGTAGTCAGCACCTCATTTGTTCTTCTACCTCAGAAATCTCCCCCGTTTCAGCTCTCAGGATCTTCAGGATCAGAAATAAACCTCCACAGCCCTTCTTTGGAGTGGGAACTGCAGTACCACTAACATAAAAGAAAATTTTGAACCATTTTACTTCAGCCAATCTGCAGCTATAGGGAGCTCACAGAAAAACTCTGGAAGTGACAGTCAAGATAAATTTATCTAGCACACAGTTGATTAAAACAGACTTTCGGAAAGCTGTTGTTGACTGCTTTTAAAGACATAATTTATTAAAACCATTTTGCTTCTAATACCAGATTGTACCTCTCCTTTTGTCAGCAATTGCTATTGTATCAAGAAACATTGAGGTTAGCCTTGCTGCTGCAGACAGTGCCAGTCCCCAGTGTCAGTGTGCGATCATTTAGGATTTTTACTCTGTGCAGATACTGTTTCAGACCATTTCCTCCCTTACCTGCATGCCTTTAGCAGTTGTTGTTCAAGTAATTTCCATGGGGGGAGGAGGAAACTGAAAATAAATGTCTTTAATAAACTGTAATTTAATTATCAAAAGATTGGGAATTTTAAGTTCAGGGAATTTGGGGATCAGCACCTACAGATTATTTTGATATAGGCTGAACAATGTTTGATGGTTCCTTGAGCAGTTTAGAAAACTTCCTTCAGTCCCTGTGAGAAGCTAAAGAACCTAGTAAAGGCAGACCTCAGATGAAGCAGCCAAGTTCATGTGGAGTTTGAGGTGCTCTGAACTGTGAGCTTCATGTGAATTTGTAGTTCTTTGTGGGCTTACAGAAGCCTTTTGTAAATGGGAACATGGAAGGATAGTTTACTTAAGTGTCTGGCTTTTCTTCATTGTCCTATAACAGTGTAAACAAGGGACCTTTGAGAGTTTTCTGAGGTGTGTAGCAGAGCATACTGCAGCTGCTCTAAAAAGTCGGTGTGGGTTTTAGGTAGCTGCAAGTCTTGTGGCCAAAGAGAGTCAGCCTGCTCATTATGGACAATCTGAAATGGAGTATAAAACCAACTGGATCCTGTTCAGGTCTCAACGTTGTGACTCACCTACACAAAACAAGATAGAGAACTATTTGGAAAAAGCAAGAAGTTACAGCTGAATTTCCAGACCTTGCATCTCTGAGACAGGCAGAGAGAAATGTGGTGTCCTCCACGGAGAAAAAAAGAGGGAAAGTTCTGATGCAATCTCTAGCCATAGAAGCAATTGATGGAGAGTCAGGGCTTGCATCTAGAAATAAGTGAAGAGTAAAGATGGAGAAGCAAGTGATTGTTCCTGTGGTCCTGTTCATAAATAGGATGAAGTATGGCTACAGAAGCAATCTGTTGTTCAACAGCAAATAGTATTAAATGGAAGAGGACCAAAAAGGCAAAAGAAGCTCTTACCATAAAGCTGAACTGTTGAGAACATCTTTTGCACTGAAAGAGCCACATCTTCACAGAAATTATTTTGCAAAGAAGTAAATTCCAGCTACTGTAGTCACTTTTAAAAATAAAGTAAACCCAGCACTCAGTTGATTTCCAAATAGATACAAATATAGCTTTGTGGTCAAAGTTTATGTTCATAATAGGCTAGAATACATTGCAAGCCTGCCAGGGCGAAGACTACTTTTCTTTATGTTCCTGCATCACAGATGTCACAGAAGGAAAGTGACTTCTGAAGTAGTTTTTAATCAGTGTTGCCTCTTGCATCACAGTTTGGTATGATTCATACAGGCCCTCGGGGTATTTGGGTCACAGCTCAGAGCAGCACTGGGTAGTCATTGTCGGGGCCATCTACTCTTTTAGACAAACACCCCACTACCCACAAGCAGTCAAGAAAAACAGGGGAAAACCAAAGCATTTTAGGACAGGTAGAATTTTAGAAATGTGTAAATTCAATACTGCATTCAGATAGACCACAGTTTCTCTATCTATCTATTTCTGTCAGTTCTCTTGCTGCATTTTTAGTACATCTGCTTGAAAATGCCTGATTTGTGTATTTTTCAGTCAAATCAGTACCAAGCGCTTACAAGCAGGTAAGGGAGACCAGTGAGAAATTTTTTTAAAACATCTTTGTATGATAAGGATATATCTGGAAAAAAAAAAAAAAGTAAAGCTGAGTAACGAAGTCATAATTTTTATTACAATCTCTGAAGTTTCCTTAATCCGTTGTTGGTGGCTCTTTGGTGGTTTGTGAACGCTGCTTAACTGGGGTGAAAGCTATGAATTAAATTGAGAGTAAAAAACCAGCCATTGAAAGAAAGCTCTAAGTGTGATCTAAGGAGTCACTAGACAAAAGATCACAAACAAAAAGGTAGCATGTCCTCTGTGAGTGCAGTCATGTTGCGTCTGATTTCAGCTCACTCACATCAAACTCTGATCTCCAGAATTAAACCAAGTTTAACTCATAAATTCAGAAACTTAACTTTTGAGTTCCTCTTGCAAACTTGGCTGTGTCAGAAAACCTCTCCGCTATTCAGAATAGTTGGCAGCCTCTCATTAAAAGAGGCCCTGTACTGGCAGAGCAAAGGGAATTCAGGTCAGAAAGAAGGCGCATTCATCAGCTGATCCCTCTGAAGAAGGTTGTATAGCGCTTGCTACGACAGGCTCAAATTGCTGCTCTGAGTCCTTCATCTGCATCCCACTGACTAAGAATTAGAAGAAATAAGAAAATTAAATGGAAAATTCAGTTGAACTCATAAAGCTGGGCCAAAAACCTCTTGTACCTACTATATCCTTTGTTTACAAGTGCTCAAGAACTGTTTCTAACCTAGATATTCTGCTGGAACAGTTAAACTAGTCATCCACACAAATGCCAGTTTATTTTCCATGATGACCTGACCAGGTCTTGGGTACTCACTGTGCTTTCCATTGTTTACACAAAGCTCTGGGCTGCTTTTTCTTACCACTCCAGCAAGACTCAGGAGAACAGAACATGCTTTATCTGCTGCTGATAAACAGATGAAACATTAGTTAGGATTTACTGAGCATATGGTGGCCTAAAACCAACACTGTTAAAAGCAAAGAAGCAATAATATGAAGATTGTAAATAATCATCAAATTAGGTTATTTTAAAATTGCTTAATATGAGTTTTTGAATTACCAGTTATGTGGCAGTATAAACAGAACTATAAACTGTGTGTAATATGGAAAAAGCCTGCCTAAGAAAGCTACTTTTACTAACATTGTTCTAACTATAGTTAAAATAGTTACCTTCCTATAAATATTACTTACATTTTATCCCAACAAATTATGTGATTATAAAAAGAAAAAAAAAAAAATCACAATTGGACAATCATTGTGTCTTTCAGGTGTAAGTCTTGTCCTTATGTGATTTCAGTGAATCATGCAAAAACTCATATTAAGCGATTTTTTTAAAAAACAATTTGATGATTACTTTCAGTCTCCATATCATATCCTTTCCTTGATTTTAATATTAAGCAGAGAGCCTCTGGTATGCACTACTGAATACCTGCTATTCTCATGAATTCAGGCACTGTGGGAATTCACCATATCTCAGCTAAATTGTGTAAATCAGGATTAGAAAGGTATAAGCATTTCCAAATACATTACTGCACTGTAATATATCAGGTTCAAAACCTGATTTTTAATTTAAAATTGTATAGATTTACGTATAGGTCTGGATGACATTTCAAAGTGCTTAAGGCTACCTTTAAATGTGACTCTAAATCATTTGGATGTTCAGGTATATTTTGAAAAGTTACTTAGGGGTTGATCCAAAAAGATATAATATATGGCATAATTTTCAGCTTTGCAGTACATAAATAAGCACGTGGTCCAGAAACGTGATTAAGAAATACTGATGAATTAAGTTAGACCCATAAGGCTAACCATCCTGTGTGGTCACCAGGAAGAGCAAAGTGTCTCCAAAGAGGCAATCGCCGGAAAGCCCATGGGCTAAGCAGGAGCTGCCTGGAGGCAGCGAGCAGGGAACGTCTCTGCTTCACTCTGAAGCTTTGGCTCCTCTTTTCACTTGGGATACCAATGTATTAGCAAATTAAAAGAATGTCAGGGCATAGACCCAGGCACTGGCACTCAATCATCTCTACAAATTAATTCACACAATGGGCCCTGACAAATATTTGGTCTGTGACAACTATAATTTTTCCAAACAATTCTTTGGTGTATTTAGGTATTTAACATAATCTAGGGACCATTTTCATCAGTAGTCTGGATGCAGCTATATTGTTCTGGTAAGTAATAAAAGTTTGGTAATATAATCGTGACTGGACTAGGTCACTTGCCCGCAGGACCAAGTAACAGGCCCTGGAAGTGTCTACCTTACTAGTACACATTAAACTTTTGAACTATTTTCTGAGATTAAAGGCGTAAAGGAGCAGCATACACCTACTTTAAAATGTGGTCATGTGCAACTCGATCTGTATGAACTAAGGACCGAAGGAGAGAATCTGGGTCTTTGCCTGAAGGGGTCCTTTTCAGCCTAAGGAAATCCAGGTCCGCATTCCCTGCCTGTGTTATATTAGTCAGTGTTCTCTGGATTCTTATATAATTCACATTAAACAGACTTCTTGGTCTCTGCTCTCCTTTTTTCTGCTGTTTTTTTGGGGGTTTTTTGACTGTTTTGGTATGGATGCATTCCTGTAAGAGCATACATGTGTAAACACAAAATTGCACCTAGTCCCTCCTTAGTCACTGACTTTGCATTCTCTCTATTCCTTGAGAAATTACTTCTGTTGTTTTACCTATCATTAAATGAAGGAATTTACAATCATCCACTCATTTGCCTGAACAGAAAATAGCCAGAATACTTTTAGCTCATGTAGATGATATGATTGTCCATCCACTGTAGACATTCTGGTGGAACCCATTAATGGACAGTTGACATTGTCCTGTTGTTTGGTTTGTTTTGACTTCCTGTATCTATTTTAAACTTCATTTATTTTTTCTTTCTGCTTTTGAGGTTGCATTTTTGATGTTCAAGTCCGCACCAGCATGAATCAAGAATTTAAATCACCAGGGACTCCAGAAGGTCACCCCAATTCTGGTCGCAGTGTTGGACAATGTAAAGATTCCCCATGCAGTTTAATAAAATGCAGAAATGGTGGGAAGTGCATAGAAGGTGGCTCTACTGTTTAGTAAGTATAATTATTTTTTTTTTTGTAGACTACAGCATAGACTCATCTCCAGGCTGATAACTAGTTATTTAGTGTCTTGATAATAGAAGTCTCCAGGAGCCTGTCATCTTATTCGAAAGAAAGAAAATTACTGAAGGGTTCATTCAGTTAAACAGAGCATTTTAATCTTACATTAATAAAATCAAAACTAAAATATTAAAATTATGCTAGAATACTTCCCGGGGAACTTTTTAAAGAAATTGGATGGACTGGTTCTGCTCCACTGAAGTCACTGGCATCCAGACTTAGTACAGAATGCATGGGAAGCACTAGATGTTTAGGAAAGACTTTTTTTAAAACTAAGTGAGCAGCCTAACTAGAAGAGAAGAGAAGAGAAGAGCTTGACTACCTTAGTGTCTGAATGTGGCCTATGGGGCAAAAATAGGTGACTTCTGTTTCCTGGAAATTAGTATTTTCATCTAAGAATCCCTTTCTGGAGTAAACAGAACCCAACATCAGAAAGTTCTGAGCCAGTTTAAATCCTTAGGAGCTCCCTTACCTAGCACCTGTACATCCTTCTCTCCTGCTCGGTAGCTCCCTAATACACAGAGTTCTCTGTGCCTCCAGTTGTGATACTTTCCTGAGTCTCAAAAGCACCTTCCGTGGTCACACTTCATCCATTCTCAAGTGTTCATTCACCATTGCCTTTCCAGATCTGCTGGCTGGCCTCCTCATGTAAGACCTTCCTAATCCATTTCAAACAAAAAAATGTGTGGTATTAAGAATCTCATGTTTAAATTGTTTGAACTACGTCACTTCATCATATAAGCTGTTCACCTCGCTGATCTATGGGTTAATAAGTGGTCGAGGACAGCTGGCCCAGAAGACAAGTCTATGGTCTTTCATGCCTTATCAGTAAGTGTAGCTGGATCTTTAGTGTCCAGACTGTAAGGCATACAAGAAGGAAATACATTTGCAGTTCCAAATTGATGTTGTGTGTCAACACTTCCATTGTAATAAATCTTGTCTTCAAACATTTTGTAAGTCAGCTGTAAAACCTTTGCTAAGGAGTGCTTTTGATTTTAAAAGTATATGCCAAGTTTAATTAGACTTGCTTCCCCTCGTGTACTTCTGCACGTGTTCATTTATTTACACGTATTTGCATATTTTTTTAAAAAAAGAGAAAAGTGCTGATTTAAAACATCTGAAGACACTGACTGGAAACACTGCAGACAGCAAGACAGATAAGAAGAAAAAGACAGGCTTTGCACTGTGGAGCCTCTGTGTGTGATTCTTCTTTAAAACAACAAAGACCTGTCCTTCTGTGTGCTGCAAAGAAAAGAGTTTGCATACCTATCAAGCTAAAAACAATCTACTAACTGTGTGTGGGCGAGAGAATAATATGCTAATTGATTTTGCTGCCCCTGAGACAAATCTTCATCTGTAAGAAAACTTGTACGAAACTAGTGCTTCTAAAGCTAGTAAGTCTGTACTAAAATTTGGAAAATTCACTCAAGACGCAGCATGCAATTCCCTCCCCATTTCTCCTATGAGTGTATTTATATTCTCTTAAATACAGTAATGAAGGAAATACTTTGAAAGATACAATTTGGGATTGCTTTCTGATTGTTGTGCTACAGTATGTCCCAATATTGCACTTTGCAGGATCCTTCCAGAACTGTTAAACCCTTGACATTCAGAGTGTTCTGAGGAACAAGAAAGGAGAATGGCACTCTCACTTATCAGCATATTAGAGGGGATACAAAACTAAAACTGCAAGGAAAAAAAAAAAATCAGAAATGTGGGTTGAAGCATGCCATTCCCATCTGCCCACCTACACCAACCTGAATCCTTGCTTCAGCAACTTACCCAGCAGTGCTAAGTCATCTTCATGTCTATAAGGTACACAGAGCCACCACCAGCCACATCTAGAGAATATTTCAAAAGCATGTAGCAGGCTGGAGCGGCAGATGGTGACATAGCTACACTGGAAGCTTGATATTACAGACAAGGTTCTTTTTCATCATTATAGTTTCATGATTTGTCTTCCAGATTTGATTAGGGACTGTTATAAAAAAGGGGGGGCAGGGGGGGTGTAAATTTTTTTTTTCTGGGTTTTGTTTGTTTGGAGGTTTTTTATTTGTAGTGACCTACTACTGAATTATACTCCACTCTTCAGATTTCAGGACAGCTAGGTCTTCACAGACTATGTATATATGTATGCATATACCAGTAATGGCCACTTTTTCCTCTCACAAAAAAGTGAAATATTGCCAAAGAGGTGTGGAGGTAGCATGCATATCATTTTTATCAATGTATAGTAGCTATCAATACAGTCTCACATTTTCTGAGAGGGAACTTCTTTCTGTTTTTAAATCATCTGTGTTCCTTTGAAAAACAGAGTCCTTGAGGGAATTGGGTTTGTGTTCAAATATTTTTTCTCCTGAAACAAGATCTCTCCAGAGGTTTTTGTTGCTGGTTTGAGCTATTTTTATGTCTTGCTTTCACCACCCTGCCAGAAAGTGTGCAGTGCCATTAAGCTGTAGATTCAGTTGCTATAGGGATAATGCTTTCATTTAAATAGAAGCAGAAATATACAGCATTAAACTTTACATTCTGGCCAGCAACAGAGCACAACTACTATGTTTTAACAAAATAAAGAGGAAATATTTTATTAATAAAATGAAGATTTTTGTTGTTGTTGTTCAAGGGACAATAATATCCTCTGTTATTTTATTTATGCACAGAATCATACACAATAGAAAATTACATATAACAAAGATTATCTATGATGTGTTATGGCTATTGCTTGTTGTTGAAGTGAAAGGACAAGTATGTCTTGTGTGCCCTTTGAACAGAACATCAGACATAATGAGCAAGATTCAGTCTGCTAAATGTAAGCGTGTAGGGTCACTTTAGATACCCCTGGGCAGACCATTTGGCCTTCAGCTGCTGCTTCAGAAGAGCTTAGGACTCGCATAAGTCTTCTGTTGTATCTCCAAGCCTCATGTGGATTTCTCAGTACTCTATAGCTTTCAAACAGCACTAGCCACTTCCGTTTAGGAAATTAAATCATACCTCTATATGGTAAAGGAATGACCCATCAAATGAGCTGCTGTAGTTTCATTATTGGGTTAGATTCGATTAGAACTAATTTTCAGTGCAAGGACAGAACCAATTTTTAATGCAAAGGTGTATTTTTATATTTTGTAAGGGAAACTATTTAATTGTTGTGGTTTAGATCAATAAAAGTTGCTACTTTTGGGAGTGGATTTGCTATCTAAAATTTGTCATCCAATTTAGCTTTTTTAATAGGACACTTCTGCAGCATTCCATTGTTCTCTTTGTTTAAATATAGTTAATTTCCTTCCAATCTTACTTTCTTTAGGCTCTCTTTTCACCTTCTAGCCTGAAGGTAGACTGTTTTTCATTAATGTTGTAGTTTTGTACTGCCTGAATTTAAAGCCACTTTTATTTAGAGATCTCATCCATTGCTCAGCATTTTTCAGTTCCAATACAATACAAATTTAAGAACTATATCCAGAAATCAGCAGTAGTTTGGGTAGCCTGATGTGACCAATACAGATCAATATGAATTTCAGATGTCCTGCAGTATCTGAGATACCCATATGATGTTGACAAATGTGACAGTTCCTTCTGTCAATTAACTGAGCCTCTGATGTCCATTGAGTGTATGCCCATCTTACATGTAGACACCTATATTCACTTGTCTGAATTTGCAGGGCTGAATCCCTCCTTTACTGCTATCAGACTGCTTGTTTGATTTGACACCACATTTGCATAATTGGAGGCTGCAAGTTTGTTAGCACTGAGCATGACATTTTAACATGATATTTTTTATATTTAATGTAAGAATGCTCTTTGTTTACTTTAGGAAACCGCATTGGATAGAAGCAAACTTTTCAATTCCTTCACAAAAATATTTTAGGATCTTTGGTTATTTCCCTGTAAGGTTCAAGAAATGCTTCTAGTTTGATTAGGGTTTTGTGTAGTAACTTACAGACATATTGCTTACATAGTTTATAAAATGAGATTACTTTTCATTATTTATTTAAAATATTGCCTGAATTTTTATATAGTAAATTTCCAGGTTTGGTCCATAATCAACAGTGATGTAAACTTGTCCTTATTTATGTAGAAACTGTGTTTCTTCTTTGAGAACTCCCTTTGGCTTTGGTAAGGGACTTTGAGCCTGGAAAGCCACTCTGTGAACACTGCATGACACTGTTAAGCATTTGACAAGAAACAAATAAGAAAAAAACAAAACAAAACAAAACAAAAACACCACATTAAATCAAACCATACTTCAACTTCCTAAATACAAAGATTATGAAACTTGAAGTGGCATCTAAAATTTCCAGAACTGAAAGTATCTCTTGTTCTGTTTCTCTGGGAGCTGTGAGTTTGAGAGTTCTTGCTTCCTGCACTGGCTGACTTTGCCATGGATATGCTGTGACGTGCACCCTATTAAGAGTCCTGTGCAAAACTAGGGGATTCAAGATTATCCAGTTTCCTCTCAGACGCACTATCAAAGTTGTATATGAAAGCCTTCCTATCCTTTCTCCACCTAAAAATATCCTATAGAAAAATTAAGAGACATTTTGGCAGTTGCTGTTGAGAAACTCAAAAGCTGGAGTATAGAAGAATCAGTTTAAGCCATGTTTTTCAAAACCCCTGAAAATAGGTAAGCATCTTTTGGTGAGGTTTAGCTCCTAAGATACATAAACTTAGAGTGTCTCCAGGTGAGCTAAATGCGTAAGATCCTATCACAGTCAATGGAGGTCTAGGCCTTTCCAGTTGTCTAAACATTGCTATTCTAATGGCACAGATGCTGGGATACCTTTCCTGTTCTTCACTGGCTGCCCAGAAGAGCTCCGCAGTTCTTCTGTCTTATCTCCTACTTTCACACAGATCTCTCAGACACACCATGGCATGTCAGATGGCACCAAATGCCTGTGTTGAGGCAATTGAATGCAGCACCTTGTCATTAAAGTCATGCCTCTATTGCTTTGTGGCATGGATAGTGCTCCAGTTCCCCTGACTGTTTCAGCTGGATCACCATTGACTAGCGTATGAGCTCAGGCACCTACTCAAGGATCCCATTGCCTAAACTTGAGCATTCAGTGGCCTCTGTCAGAATCTTGTCTCCCTGGTCTCAAGCTGCCTCTCTCGCATACCTCCAGGAAGGCAACCGGAGGCCATCTGGGCACGTAACGTAACATAAAATGAGATGTTTCCATCTCTGAATGTCTCTCACCTCTTATATCTAAAGAAATTCAAGGAGCATGTAGATGATGCTTTTAATCATATGAGTTAGTTTTAGGTAATCCTGCAAGGAGCAGGAAGTTGGACTTGATGATCCTTATGGGTCCCTTCCAACTTGAGATATCCTATGATTCTAAATGGGTCTTTAAATCCCTGAGAATGAAGGCATTGGTAATGTTCTAAGACATTGCGTTCTCCTGGTCTGGAAAAACAACAAACAACCACAACCAAGAAAATATAGAGAAAACTAGACCAGCACGGCAGGCCACATGGTGGAAAGGATTTGAAATGCTGCCTCTTCCCTTATCTCTCTAAAGATTAGGAAATTTTTGATCTAAACTTCTCAACTCCAGTCCAACTTGCTTAGGAGCGCTAAGCAGAAGAGGTTGCATTTGTTCATAGACCTTTGACACTGTATGCCACAGCAAACATGTTCAGCTCTGTGCAAATAATTTTCAGTTCATTTAAAAACCTAACTTTTATTAGGTCCTAAAAGACAAGAATGAAAAGAAACTTAAACAGACGTATGCAGACACAAGCAAGGGAAAGGGGAAGAACCTTTGTGTATGGTGCCCAACAGCAGTAGCTTCAGCTCCAAACACCCTGCGTCACAGCACAAGAAATGGACATTTCTGTTTGCCACTCAGGGAGTTAAATTACTTCCCCTTCTCAGTAGCTTTCATGCATCAAAGCATAACATTTATAGCTGAGACAGAAAGCATTCTGATGGTGACTTTGATGAATTGAGGTGCTTTTGCTTTTGCAAGGTCCTGTCCTCTTTTCCCCTTCATTCCAAATAGCTATTTATCACTCTGAGGGGCTTGTTGGCTGTTTGCATGTTGGCTTTGTTTACGTGTTGTTGTCTGATCTGAAAGTTTGGTGAAACAGCAGAGTTTCACAGATTCCTCATTATGTTTTTCCCAGAAACAGTGGGCTGATTAATGGAGAAAGTATAGCTCAGTGAGTTTGAAGAAAAATTCCAAGATTTTGCACATATACAAAAAGATAGGGGCTAAGAATCAATCAAAATATATGAGGTTTCATTCTTAGCCTTTAGAGAGAAAAATTCCAGGGAAAAATCAGTAAGTGCTTTTATTGAGGGGAACAATTTTATCATAAAGTGTCACTAAATTCTAAAATACAAACAGGTCCAACATATTTCATTTTAACTATTTTGAAATTTTTTAGTAAGGAGGGCATTTTTAACATCAGTACCAAGTGTATTCTGTATTTAACAATTTCTATAGAATTCATACTAATTTAAATTTAAAGGTTAGTGTGATTTTTTTTTGTTATATTCTCCTGGCCTGGATGAAAGAAAGGCATAAAGAGTAGTGGACACTAACAAATCCAATGATTCAGTCAAGTTAGACAATTTGCTTCTGGCATAGATTTACAATCCCAGATACATAACACTCAGATTGTCACCTCTTTCATAGTCAAATCCACTATTCTCTCTTCCATCAAGTGTTTCACAAAACCTACCTCCGATGCGCCAGTTAGAAGAATTTAGCCAATGAATAATGGCTACAGTGAAAGGCAGTTGCTGACAGACTCCTGTTACTAGCTAAATTTTGGAATTTTTAGCAGTTTGCTATACTGACCTCTGGTTTTTTTATTATTTTATGGCTGCTCTTCACTGCTTTCCTTTCCCTTTCAGTTTCCACTTTGATTCCTCCTAGTTTATGAAGCCAAAGCCTTTTCGAGTTACATGTACAGCAAAACACAAAAAAGCCACAAGTTGTCTTTATGGGTTTTTTTGGGTTTGTTTTTTGTTTTGTTTTTTTTTTTTTTTATTTTGGATGCTAATATTGTAATGCTAAGATTCAATATAAAATGTTTCCTATTAAGTACATTTTTTTCAATAAAATAAACATATCGAAAAGTTAAATGAGAAACTTTGTTACTCTTTTCTCTTAGTCATTTTGGATCAGATGACTAAACACAGGTGCGCAGACTTGAAAATCTTGATTACTGTTCTGCTGGCATGTTGATTTCTTTTGGTAATAATGTTGCATTCTTTTCTTTCACTTATCCACCGTAGTTGTGACTGCCTCACTGGGTGGAAAGGTGCATTTTGCACAGAAACGGTGTCAGTATGTGAACCAGAGCATGATCCTCCACATCTGTGTAAGCAAGGCGGTACCTGCGTGCCACTGCCAAACGGCTACACGTGTCACTGCCCTCTTGGAACAACTGGTACCTATTGTGAACAAGGTATGTCAAATGGATAGTACGCCTGCGATAATGCCCAAGCGGAAAACCACAATGTTTTGTAATGTATCAATGAAATGTGACATAGAGGCACAAAGTACAAAACAGATTTTATTTAAGAAAGTGGTGCTCCTATTAGAAAAAAACAAGTAATTTAAAGCTATGAATCGTTAGGTAGTGTTTTCTGACTCTGCTAATTTTTAACACCATTTGTTTCTTCAGTTTTTTCAACTCATTGAACCAAATTCATGGGCAGTGTGGCATTGTCAGATAACGAGGGGCCGGGAAGCATTGCACTGCAGTGTTATAGTGCTTAGTTAAATTGCCAAGCTCACCATAATGAAATATGTTGAGAAATACACTTAGGAGCTCAGTAGTACACTTGTGAGAACACTTCAGAAGAAGGGAGCACCTGGGACCTTATCCAATTTCTACTGACACTAATGGAGAGGTTTCTGTTGACTTCCCTGGCTATTGGGTAGGGATGCACTGAGAATGACGATAAAAGATGCAAATATCACTGTAATAATCTTCAAGTGTCTATTCTCCCTTGGCTTTCTTCCAACATGTGACCCTCAAAATATGTCCTCCGTTTGCCGGTTTTGCATTTCTTACCTCATTTATAGGAATCCTTTTTTTTTGTCGGTTTTCTTCTCTGAGAGATTGCACAAATGAATATTCAACAATGTGGATACACAGGTGCTACAAGCTCAAGGACTTTTTCTGTAAGTGTCTGAAGCACCTCTGTGTGCAAGGCATGTAGTACAGTCCGCACTCTCTATTCCGCAGTTCTTAGATTCCAGTTAATATTGTACAAGCTTATGGTTTTTTCCTTCGAGAACCTCTCTTTACATCTTTTGGAGAACTCCAGTTACTGTTACTTTTCAAACCACCTGCCAAGGTACAGCCTCCCTTCTTGTGCCTACAGAGCAAGTTTCAAGCACAAAACTGACAAGTTGAACTGCATTTGACCTGATTTGCAGTCATCACCCTATAGACGGATACAGTTTTAAAATCCCGTTACAGAAAGCGCCTGCAATTGGTAGGCTCAAATCAAAGAGAATATGGCTTCTGGAAAGCCATCGTGAACTTCTTTATTCCATGTAAGAATGTGCTTGCTCTATTGCCTCTGTTGCAAAAGCTTTTTAGGGTTCTTTATATGAACTTTTCAACTTTGAATTTTCATTTCAAGTGAGGTTTTCAAAGGTAATGCCATCTGGATTCAGGACACTGATCACCACCAGGACAGGTGCTATACATAAAGCAGGTAATTAATCAGGTAAACACTCCTGTGTTCTGGTTTCAGAATAGATTTGGATCTTCTTGTGATGGCCACTATTTCCAGTACAAATAGCCTATATCTGAGCAACCCAAAATTGTATTTCTTGTACGTTGTCATTCTTTTAGTAATTCCTCCACCTGGTAAACACATTAGTGGGTTTCTCTCTGTTTTATTTAAAAGCTTTCTTTTTTTATGAATAGGGACTATGGGTCCTGACCAAACTCTTTACCCTGCTTTTCACCTTTCTCTGGCAGAATAATGAATTATCATGAGATTTTTCAAAGCACAGTTTGCACTTTTAGTGGATGGCAAATTGCTAAAAAACAGCTGCTTATCAAGATTGAATATCTCATCTCTGGATTGATGGTGGTTATTGGAGCCAAAAGAAAAAGAGACAGAGAGCAATGAACAGCCCAAAGGACCAGGAGAGAACAAAGGGAAATTAAATGATGGAGACTAATGAATCTGCAAGAAAGAAGGAAAGAAGTGTGAGAAAAAGACAGAAGAGATTTATGAGGCAAAAAAGCAGAGGAGAATAACAAAGAGTAAGAACAAATAGTGCTTCACCAAATAATAGCAACTGGTAAATACAGTACAACAGTGTGGATTGCATGACAACAAGTCAGGTGAAGTGAGTAAATGGGGCAGTAGGGGTAGAACCACAATAATAAGGAAGAGTACTCTGACCACAAATGTTAAGGGTACTTAAACATAAATTGACAATAATCAAGCACTAACTTTCCTAGCAAACACAAAAAAAATATCTGTGGTTCTTTAGGAACTATGTACATGAGAGATGAAAGCATATGTGCAGATGATGACATAACTGTTCTTAAAGAATAACATGATGTGTCCTCCTTAAAGCAACGACTCAAACCACCAAGGATGCAACGACTGTCTGCACAGAGATATGGTATATTATGATTAAGCTTTAGAAGTCGTAGCTGCACTAACAAGTGTTCAGTAGTTGGAAAACTAAGTTAGAACAAGAGTAAACCCAGGGAGAGCAAGATCAGTTAAACACAGTTTGAATGGTCATATGACCTGAAATTCAGTGCTTACTTGGTCCGCTCTCACCATATTCATTGCCAAAGTGTAAATACTGAGCAATATTCTCAGGAGGTTGCAGTAAGATGTGTATTAAATCATATATTTTAGAGGAAATTAGAATAAATCAACCCACTTGATCAAGAGAGGGTAGCAGTTTCAATTACCCTGCATTTCCTATAGGCTGTATATGATCAATTCTTATTCAGCAAGTAGTAGACAGGTATTTTTCAGTCTGACACTCTGAGAGCAAATATTTCATTGTATATTTCAACCTGCCAAAGCAAATGCCAGGACTTTTCTAAGAGAAATATCAAGAGGTTTAGCAGGTAGGTAGCACACTGGTGACTGAAGTGCAGTAGGAAGGTGCCTATGAAATTTAAGACCTACTTGGAAAGGCAAGCATCCGTAAGGAGCACTAGGAAGAGAGGAGAGGGTTAGAAATCAGATCCGAATGGGTCCGAGGAACAAAGTCTTGTCAGGCAAGGCAAAGTAATACATTAATTCTAGAATAATTTAAAGCTCTACTTCTTGGATATACTGTGTTATCTGAACCCATTAACACTTATAAGATAGGATGCTTCTTCAAGTGTGTTAGCTTTCTAAAGGTAGCACCGATGTAAACAAAAAAATTATTAATTTATACTGCCAAAAATAAAAGTGGTTGTGATGAAATGAGAAGGAAGTGGAAAATTTAAGCAGGAGTCTTTTTTACTTAGTGTTAACATTGCCACCCAGACTCAGACCACTTCTAAGACTGTTCATGACACACGAAGCAACAGATAATTCTGTTCCACTGGTTTGAAAAGGTCACAACTGTAACAGTAGCACAGGAAAACCAGCCCAAATCCTGAAGTGCATAGAATGGCAATCAGACATTGCCAAGACTTGGCACAGTGTTAATTCTTAGTTAGCACTCCCTTAACCACAAGGATTAGGAATATGAGGGGAAGTAGTGTATCCAGGGATTTTTTTTTAAAGTAGTTACATTTTCCAGGACATCAAAATATGATAACAAAATCTTTAGTTCATTTGACTTAAAGTTTGCAACTGAAGTACCAGACAACTCTAAATTGTCTTCTGATTAAGAAGTGAAGCTTCAGTCGAGACCAGCATGTAATTTAGTCTAGTTATTTCATTAACACAGCATGTTCATAACCAACAAGAGGCCCCAGCTCCCAGCACTATGTCTGGGACAATCTACTGCATGGCTTTGAACACCAAATTCCAGCTTATTCCATTTGGCCCAATGAGTACCTGTGTAATTAGATATCTCAAAGGATCTCTGAAGAGGGAGAAATCTTTAAGAACCTGATTGTTTCAGCTCTCCTGCAGGTATGCATTAGACCTATCGGCTTCAGTGTGATTGCTACTGTGAGAAAAAGTGGCCAAGATAGAGTGTCAAGGATGATTCTTCCTGGGAAGAAGCAACAGCCTAAAACCCTGTTGCTGCAGATATAGTTTGATTTATAGGACATCGTTATTATATATGTGAACGAAATATATTTTTCGTAACTAGTAATTATTAAGAGAAGTTAACATTAAAAATACAGACAAGTTATCCGTAGTGACTCTCTGCAATTATATTCTAATCTCTTCTAAATTGTATCATCTCAGCAGCTTAGTCCTCTTATAAGTAGAGTCTCCCTGTGTGAGGCCAGTAATCCTGTCTCTAGCAGTGGCCAATAATGAAGGTTTAGAGAAAAGTTTAACCCAGCAACTGTATATGACATGTCCCTGAAGTAGTCTTCTAGCATCCAAACATTTGCGGCATAGCTTTTTTGCCATTTGTTTTAATGGATTAAATCAAGTCTCTCATCTTGACATAAACAGTGTCACTTAAGGCAGTTGAAAACTTGAGCAAAAATAAATTTGGAGTCAATGAAGCTGATACTCTGTTAAGCATTGAAATATATTTCTACATAAGCTAGAATTCCTCTAGATACTAAGCATATGAAATTTATGGCCTAGATAATTTACTTGATTTTGCAGAGGAATTAAGACGAGCTCTAATTTCAGATTAGTTAACTCTGAGATTTCACAGACCTGATAATATTCTCATTTAAGGGGACAGCACTGTAATATTTGAAAGACTCTATAGATGGCAGTATTGGAGAAGAATTGCCAGTGGCTAAAATAAGCACGGTTTTCATTGCAATATTTCTATAAATTTTAAATTATTCAGCAATTTTCTTCTTTAGCAGGATTAGTTTGTGGCACATACTTTCATAAAATCTATTAAAATAATTTTTCTTGATTTCGAGGCATCATAACAGAATCCTACTGCCCTTTTCAGAAAGGAATAAGTGAATAAATAGATTTCTTCAACTATATATTAGTCTCTGAGTTGCATAGCTACAAATGCTGCCTGTCAATGTATGGCTTTTGAAGAAAGGAAAGCAAATGTAAAGAGCTTTTCATTTTTCTGTCATCAATTTAATGAGATACTTGTCAAGCAATAAAGCCATTTCCTTGATGATAGACAAATGGCAAACAACTTCCTTTGGTCATGTTTATTAGTTCAAGTCAACTTTCTAGATATTATTCTGATGTCAAAATGCATTATTCTGACACAAAAAATACAGCAACGCTTTGAAAATACTGATAACCTGACAGAAAAGCGGGGGGGGAAAGTAACAACAATGCTGTAACTATTTCATCCATCTTCATAGTC